GTGATAGAAAAATGTTACTTTCACTGGTTTACTTTTTTAGCACCAAACCAGGCAATGATGTTAAATGCATTTTTGTATTTAATCTACACCTTGAGGGCTACTAATTATTAGGACTGCAAAATGCAAATAGCACCCACATTATTAAGTCTCCTTCCCTGCTACATGGATGAAAAAAAGGCAAATTGCAATGCGGGGGAGGAGCACTAGAATTACTGTGCATGGGAAGTAATCTTTTCCATCCTTCTGCAGTCTGGCCAAAACCCACTTTTATGAAGTTTCTGTTGTTGCCGCTGGTGCCACATTAATTTGCTTGTGCAGTCTGAGGTTGTGCATGAATGGATGTGTTGAGCCTTCAACACCAACCTCATGGTCATCATGAGGAGAGGTGGCTGGCAGCCTACACGTCAGATCAAAGCTAAAGCATGTTGCTCTGCTTTGGACATTCTGGACTCAGACTCCTGATGGTGTTCATTCTCTGCTCAGAGTCGATTGGGCTTCAACCAGAAGATGAATCAAATTTAGTCGGGCACCACAATACAATGATCTGATTTTCAATGGCTTGTTAGGTCAATACTATATATTGTTACATTTGTATGATGATGTGAGCAATCTTCCGATGGGCATCAATCGCACTCAATATTTGGGGAGGATAATATAAGTAGGGTGATCAGAGTGAGCTGGTTTTCTGTTTTGTTTCTTTTTCTTGGAGTTGATGAAGAAATTTTATGAGGTTCATTGTTTTTTAAAACTGTTGTAAGCCTCTTTTAGGGCCTATGCTATAGTTTTCATAACAATATGTGTGAACTGTATATGAGAGGCCCTAATGTACTTCACAACTAAAGTATTTTCCCATTCTTGGTATCTGGAGTGGAATGAGAGGCCATTTTGTCTTTTGTCTTAGGCAGCAGTGAAATGTCTTGGGTGAAAGTATCTTCCAGGTCTTAAGTACTGGAAGAGGCAAGTTCATTGCCTCCTAAGGAAAAATATAGATGTGCGTGGAAAGAAAGAACTCTCTGCCACACCCAGAAATATTGGCAGAGAACAGTAGATTAAGATTTGCACAGTGTAAATGGCATAGACCAATTGAGAAGGAACAGATTATGCTAAAGAGAGACCAACATGTTCCTGAGGCAGAAAATGTGAATGATCAGGGTGAATGTAGTCTTACAGTTTGTGTCCTGATTAAAAGTACATTGAAACTAATCATCTGGGAGAGTAAATGAAAGCCTTCCATAGTTAATGGAAAGATTCTCTGAGAAGGTCCACCCTGACCTAGTTTGGAAAATAGACAGTCTGGACTCTTAGGGATTTAACATTCTTTATACTGTCCCTTGGAGCTGTCAAAATCAGCCTGATGACTTGGCCGTGGTTGTCCACAAATACTTGGAAGTAGAAGAAGTGGGTAGGGGATTGACGTCCCACGTTAATGCTTTCTAAAAGAGTCTCCCAAGAGTGTGCTCAGAGTGTAGATAATGCCAACTGCATTCCAATCATTATACAGAAGTTAGACATATGAACTGTAGAGTTTTTTGTGCTTAGTGGCCCTGCAACAACTCTTTGAGAAACATTCAAGTGGGCATTTGCTTCTACCAGGTTCTGATCTAACATTGCACCTGCAATCTGAGAAAAGGAAAGTGTTGAGGTTTCTCCCTCAAAGCAGGTGGCCGAACAGCCTGTAGAAGCAGCAGAATTATCATGATGTCTGAAATTTCCCATGTTTACTTTCTAGACTTGTTAGAGGCTCTGATAGGGTAAAAAACACTTGCAATGCAGGGCTGTTGCTCTTCTTGTCATTTTTTAAAGGCTGTGTCATTGCAAGGCAAAGAGAATAGCCTAGTCCTTTTAAAAGAGCCTTGGAACATTGGCCTCTGCAATTGAACCGTTGCAACACTGATGATTTTTATGAACCAGCAGCCATTTCCACCTCCCCACATTATCCCGTAACCTTATCAGAAGTTAAAACACCCTCCTCCCTCAGCCCCACCTCCATTTGCATTTAGATCGCTTGGTGCCAACATTCTCAATGAGATACTTTTCAGCTCCGTCAAACAAAACCTGACTGTCATTTAGCACAGTGGCAGTCAATTTACATTTCCATTAACGTAGGCCCCAGACAATTATCAGAGGAAATAAAAAAAGAAAACAGATCTAAACAAAGCAACCTTCTGCCTGCTGTCCTAACGGAGGGTTCAGAAGTTGATGATGGGCCGAATGGGGTCATTCCGGGAAAGAGCAGCAATGGGATGCCCCCATGGGAGGATTTGGCGAGATGACAGAAAAAAGCCCACGTGGAAGATTACGCAAAGGCCGTGGCCAGAAAGGTCAAGCAAACCGGCAAACAATCATCTAGATCAGCATCTAAGAAAGATGATCAAGGGGAAAGTGACAAATAGGGGCGAGAAAAGGTAGCGAGCATGATGCAAGAGCGATGGGCTAAAAATATGAGTGTACGGGGAGGGAGTGTGTGCTATAAACCACAACTCAATATTACGAAGAGAGGTAGATCCAACACGCATTTTCTAACTTGAAATATTGTCTGGAAATGCATGACATGGATTTTCAAATTATTTTCACCAACTATTGAGAACAATATCCCTACTCATTTACAGACACCATTGCAGAATTTACCTCAGAAAGCCTTTGGTTACTTTATAAAGGCAGTCAGTAGTATTGTTCTTAGATTGCAGATGGGCTGGTGGTGATGCAATTAAGGTTTATAGGTGGAAGCTTAATCACTCTACAGCATCTAGTACATTCAAAGAAGAAGTGCCGGGTGAATTGGGATCATGCAGTCCAAACCTGAGCCTTATCGTTCATTATCTGTCTAATGAGTCTTGTCTCCTGTGATTGGTTGCGGTTTTCCAAGACTTACCAGAGTCCTATCGTTTGCTATTTTAGCCTTTTACCCTGAGATATTAGGAACCATCTTCTGGGAACTTCTGGATTCAAAGCATGAATGTTATTATAAAAGTGTTCTTTTTTTGTGGGACATACTTTTCATTGGCATGCTAATGAATTTTTGAAGCGCTGGCTTGTAATTAATGTGGCAACATATTTTACGCTTAAGTAACAATTCATAAAGGGGTGGCATCAGGAGCAATTGCCAAGGGCTTTAGAGAGTATGTACGTATGTATATAGATATGGAAAGCGTCGTAAAGGTACTTCCACGTAGCAAAGCAATGGAGTGATCTCACATACAGTGGTGCCCTTGGGTGAAATTGGTGTCATGGGCCAGACAGGCAGAATTGCATTTATGTCCCAGGGACCCCTGTTAAACTGACTTCTCCTTCTAGAAAGTTCGATGCTGCAGATTAGCCCAATGAGCCTTCACAATTCCAGATTTCTACATGGGACCATCTTCCCAGAGAGAGCTAATTGTGTTGGAAGGGTGACTCCCATGCCTTGACTCTTCAGCAACTCGCAGCCTACCAGTGAAGAGGGGTAAGAGAGTTATGGATTTATTCATGTCCCCTCTTTGCCTATCACTCTGCATGCTTTTGGTTTCTGAAATTGCTACCTTCTTTCTGCCTTTGTTTCCAGGCACACCCCCACAGAACGCTTGGTCTCACTCTGACTTTGCTGATGGGGTAGAGCTAGCGAGGAGCTTGGCTCAGCCTGTCTAACATCTGCTTCCTTCAATCAACCTTTCTTTCTGAGAAAACCGTAACTCTGCTTTATTAATCCTTGCTCAGATTTGGTTCCCACTCCTCAGAAATGTTCATCCACACATAAAATCCTGCTATCGCAAGCAAACAGAGGGATGCTGAATAGAATGGAGATGCTGGCCCCAAGGTAACAGCATGATTCTCAGTGATCTTTGGGACAGTTGAGGATCCTGTCTTGTGTAGATCAGCCTGAATGAGTAGGACAGGAAAAAGAAAAGCATGAATTACTTCTGTCACTAGACTAATCAGAAAAGAATGTTTGGGGAGGGAAGGAGGAAAGAGATCCTGGGAACTGTTGAGAAGCTGAAGGACTGGGTTACTTATATTGTTTGTTAACCAAGCACCATGCTTTCTCTCTCTCTTCTGAATTACTACTCTTCAGCCAAGCAAAAGAAAGCTCTTTCACTCAGGTTACACTAATGGTTATTTTATTTAAAGGATGAGAACACTGTCACTGTCTGTCATTGTACTCATAACAACCATTGACATTTTCTAAATAATATGTTAACATTAATGTGTAACAAAATCCTTGTTTCTGACATGTGCAAAGTACAAAGGCTTTTTCATTTGCAGAAACCTTTTTTTTTCTCAGTATAACAAATTTGGCCTTTTACAAAACAAGGCTGCAAGGACAATTTCTTCACAGGTTTCTGTCACAAGAAATGCACACATGTGCGTGCACTCACACACCCCTTCGTCCCCATGCTTTCAGTCCATTGGAGGCATGTTTCTCAATGGACTCACTGTAGAAGTTAAAACTCTTATAAGGACAGAGAATTCACTGTCTGATGTCTGTGGGTTGCCTTTGCCGCGGGTGCTTGTGCTACTTATGCGGGATTGGTTGACCACTGGAAATTAGTCCGAGCTACCATGACGAATGAGATCTAAGCACCAGCAACCAATATTTGCAGAGCATTGAACAGTCAAAGAACTGTCTTTATCCTCAGATGAAGTATGATAGATGAGTCTTTCAGCACCTAATGCTGGAGGGGAAACCGTGGTAACCCAACCCTTTTTAAAAATACTGAATTCTGAACAGGGCTTTTTTGGGGGGAGGTGAGGTAAATTATTGGCTGTTTTGGCTTAACCCAGTTTATGTAACACCTGCATCCAGTAAACCACTAGCTTTTTACCCCCCCCCCCGGAAAAAGTATGAGAACCAAGAACCTCTGCAATTTTACATTCTGAGCATAGAACCCTTTTTAAAAATACTGAATTCTGAACAGGGCTTTTGTGGGGGGAGGTGAGGTAAATTTTGGGCTGTTTTGGCTTAACCCATTTTATTTAACCCCTGCACCCAGAAAACCCCTAGCTTTTTCCCCCCCCCCCCCGGAAAAAGTATGAGAACCAAGAACCTCTGCAATTTTACATTCTGAGCATAGGAAGGAAGCCAGCTTGAGATAAATTTGGCCTCATGTTTACCAAGCCAGAGTTATTTTAGCAGCAGGCAAGCCTTTGTCCATATTAAGGGGGAATGGGTGTGCCCTCCCACTGAATAGCAACCTACTGCCAGTTTCTGTATCACAAATTGCCTTTCATATTCCCCACAAACTTAAAACTGACTTTCCAGGCAACAAAGCTAGGAAAGGTGATGTTCACAAATACAGGGCCCTTCCAACATCACTTCCGGTACTCCAGCTCTTCAGGCGCACCCAACTTGATGAGATTTTAATTTTAACATGGGAATCTGGTATGTGGAAAGCAAAACCCTGGTTGCTAGCTGTTTGGTACCAATGAGATTTCCAGGGAAATTTCTAGACCCTAAATAGATCCCATAGGTCAATTTGAGCCTGGTACTTTGGGAATGTGTCCAGCAAAAGGACAACATTAAGCAGAGTTGTGTGAGGTGGAGAGCATTCTGAATCTGTGGGTGGCAAGTAATAGCTCTCAGTTTGCCTTCAGGTCAATATATTTCTTACTCATCCTGCTCGCCATGGCTGTTCTTTTGGGATTAGGTAAGCTTTCTCCTCCCAATTAATTTCTGCAACACTGCTAATGTAGCTTACAGCTTTAAAGTATCCCAGGCATTAAGAAAGAAAGAAACACTTTAGGGTGTATGTGTGTAGGATATTGTGCAGCAAAGTTGTTGGAGAAGAAGTGGTTATCCCATTGTTTCTTCACTACAATTGCTATCTGAGGGAGTTCCCACCCCACTGAGGGTCTAAAACTCATGCAAAAATGTGGCTGAAGTCCCACATAGCAGTTGAGAGTATTATGATTTAACAGAACATAAGGAAAAACTTACATTACTATCTCCTTCCATTTGCCCCCTTTAAATTTCCTTTCCAGCTTTTTTTTTTTTTTGAACTCTTGCCTGAATGTTTGTAATGTCTAATTTTCTCTAAGATCTTTTAAAGTTTGATGGGGAAATTAAGCATATGGAAACTATATGCCACTAAAAACAAAGGGATTTAAAAATGGTTTGCTTTGGCTGGATCTTGGGAATTATTTGAGCAATGAGTAGAGATGCATTGGAAGTGCTCCATGCGTGGAATGTCCTACCCACAGTGAGGGTTTCAGGTTGGGACCTGGGAGGTTGGTTCCATCATTGCAAAGGAAACCTAGAAGAATCAAATCCCAGACTGTTTTCTTCACCTGGACCAAAAGAAAGAGAGAAAGGGAGAGAGTAACACTATTGCTACATTCCTCAGAGCAATCATGTGCTGGATGGTATTTTTTTAACTCCAAAAGGTAGGGATTGAAAGACATGAATGATAGCTGAAAACAGCACGCACCCTAGTTAGGACCTCTCATTTTAGGAAGGCTGGAATACCCTGCTAAAACTTTAGACTGTCCCACCTGCAACTCTGGCTACATAAAGGTGTAGTGCACAGTACAAAAAAGGGAAAATAAGAAAAATAGCTGAGAAATTGTTGAACTTACTTGCTTTGCTCTGCTTGTTCTCTTTAGATTTTTTTGGCTTTTTTTTTTAAAGCAGGGAGACCTGTAGGGTACTTCAGTATATAAGCATTACGTTCTTGCTTCTGGGTTTTTATTTTTGTAAAATAATTATTTGCACATTTCCATTTCAACTATCAGCTGGCCACCCACTACCATACAGCCAACAGATCAGCCCCCAAATACATGAGCTTTTGTCCAAAGATGGATGTCATCAGAAATCTGTTTGTAGTAGGCAAATGCTTGCTTGCTGTTTCAATTAGTTTGCGGTTTGGCAACATTAAAAATATGTAGAGCCAAATATAATGACCTTACATTTTGGAGGGATAATGGTCTGTATCTCTGGTATTCATCAGGTATCGTATGACACAAAGGACATACTTTAAGCAGGACAAAGCCATCCATTTCAATTACCGAGAATATTTTGGGAGATGTCTCTGACATCTGAATGAGGCTGAGCACAGACACTACTAAAAATATTCCTCAATCTGCTAAAAAATGTTAGCAATGTCACCAGCCAACTTGTAGGTTTATTTTTTGGCTTCTTATTTATTGCACCTTTAGGTTTCTGGTTGCAGGAAGCTTCTGTTGCCTGATTTTGTCACTTGACCCAGGTTACAAAACTAAACAGTATTTAGAACGGTACATTTCTACAACAACAAGTCATATGTTATCTTTTTCTGTGATGGTAAAACAGAGTGTAAGAAAAATTCCAATGCTCTGTGCTTATGGGAGTCTGCAGTGTTCTTTTTATTGCCAAGTAGAAGCCAATTAAAATGAATTGTCCTGGAAAAGCTCCCCAATCTCCTGGAATGATCATCTGTCTAGATGGAATACCATACTTTGAAGAGACTTTTGACATATTACTGTAGGAGAGATGGACCTCACGGTATTTAGCAGTATCCCAGAAGACTTTCCCGCCCATTTGATTATGCATTACCAGCTCCAAAATGTTTGATCTTCCAGAATCTGACATTAACTCCTAGAAGTGATACAAAATACACGGAGTAATAAAATGGTTGGAATTTGAGTTTATGAACAGATGTTCTTTCAGCAAAGAATAGGCTGAATCCAGATATGACTGTGTATACAAGGTATTTTCTTCTAAACCTCATGATGTGGTTTTGCAGAAGACATGGGAAACAAGTATTTATCGGGCAGAAGAAACCCCACTGGCCAAACTGATACAGACACAGCTGATCCTAAAATGGGTGGGCAACTATTGTGCAGATGCAACCAATTGCCTTTCCTGGAACTGTACTCCTATCCCTCCAGAAATGGTTCTCCACTGTAATAGGAGAGGCTTCAAAATAGTCTTCACCAACACCTGACCTATGGAAAGAATTTTAAAGTCTCACTGTAACTTGGAGGAATGATATTTAAAGAGGAGTGGCAATGTTTGACAGCCAATCTCTTCCTCTGAAATTCCTCCCTTGAATTGTAACTAGAATTTTTAAACAGCCTCCATTAGCAAACAATGGACACCCTTTTTGAAACCTGATTGCAGCCTGAAATGGTGATTCCCCAAAATGGATCAAGATCACTGGGGAGACAGGTTCTTCTCCAGCAATATCCTGTGTCTCTCCTCCTCTGCAGCTGTTAGCAGTCTCAGTTGATAATGTTAAAGTTTTGTTGGGGAGAAAAAGCTCCTAATCTGATCAGAGCAGCAAGATGTGCTTGGGTCCCAATAGGGGCAAAAAGGCCCTTTGGAATGCCCACCTCTTGGTGACCCCTTAAAGAAGCTGCATCTTCACCAACTTGCATGGTAGCCATGAGAGTCCACAAAAATGTGTGTTTTGAGTTCAGAAGGTGCTAAGAGTGTGTGACAAGATGCTTTGGAGAAGGCATAGTTGTGCTGTCAATGCCTCCTTACCGAAGCATCTGCAAGAAGGTGCATGCAATTGTCTCACTGAAGTCTTTATACAGGTGCGCTATGTTGACTCATGTACAAAAGTGTGGAGCTTTGATTGTGTTGTTGCATCTACCATCTTGATCTTTTGGACCCCTTAGCTTAATGCATGTTTTCCTGGTATTATGCGAGCCCGGAAGAGACACCTTCTTCAAGGAGGCATCGACAGGGGCAGTGAGAACACCCAGACCTGCTCTGGAGCCCCTTTTAGCTTTGGATCCAAAGCACAGCCCTCCCTAACTTTAGCCTGTTCCTGGCAGTGCAGCCACGATGGGTGTGGGAAGCAGATTGCAACAGAGGCTAGAGGCAAGGCCTTGCCAGATTTTTGTTTGCCATGGATGAATTTTATTGGCACTATGGACCAGAGGTTCCCTCTGCCCTCTATGGACTATTTTTATTTATCATAGCACAACGTGATTTCTTGCTGTGTTTACTGAAGTGATTAGCGGCCGCTTTCCTTCCACTCTTCTTTCTTTGGAGCTAACTAAAAAATCTGGCATCTTGCCCTAGTTTTGGCATGTTCCCCCATTACATTGATTAGAATCCAGGGATTCTCTTCTGCATAAAGAGCAGGTATTTTTCTCATGCTCGAAACAAGTCAAGGTGCACCCAGAAGCTTCATTAAGTCTTCATTAAGAAACCTGAATCACAAAACTCATGGTGTACTTACCAAGGCAACACTTTGCTTGTCTGTGTTTATCAGGAATGATGAGCCCATGGCCGTGCAGATGTTGAACTACAACACTTAGGAAGCAGCTCCAATAGTGAGAGATGTTAAAAACTGTAATTCACCAACATCTGCAGGACATCTGGAGGGCCACTAATTCCCTATACTGGTACAAATGAATAATTGCTGAGTGGTGTATTTTTCTTTTAATTGGGGCATTAACATCCTAGGCTGAAATTAGCTTCAGGGTAAAGATCTTTTTTTTTGCGAGTTTACCAGAGTTAACAATTACCTCTACAGCGATAATTTCCTAATTGGTTTCTTTTAAATGAATTCTAAAGAATGCTTCCTATTTGCAAAGCAGGAAGTCCTTTACCTATAAGGAATACCAAGAGGGTAACCTTTCTTACCTTAGCAAAATATATCGTACAAAAAGTCCTCCTGTCTGAAATCCTGATAAAATAAAGCAACAATTGAAGTTGAATATTAAAAAGGGAGCCAAAAAAGGACTTCAGAACAAATGAAAAAGTATAGAACTGTTGAGCATCAGTTCGATACTGGGGGTCTCTTAGCTGTATTTTTAATGTGGGGAAGGGGAGGGGCTTTGACACGGGCTGGTCACATACTGTCCATTACACACAGAAGGCGTCGGGGAGCCCTGGAAGATCCTGAGAACAGAATTCTCTGCAAGGCAGCAGATACTTAATTTCTTTGAGCTTAACCAGCCAGCCACTTTCATGAGCTTTCTTCCCTTCCCTAGAGCAGCAGAAAAATACACTGAGCTCAAGTGGGCTTTGCTAATACCTCAGGGCAGGGCAGTTTGCTGTCCTTCCCATCTGTACTATGGACTAGTTTCAGTGCAGCTGTTGGTGGATTCCCTGTCACCCTTTCCCTCGTCCTGTTGACCTCTCCCACGAGCGGGAAGTCCAACCACAATCTCTCTCCTGAATGTGACTGAGGCAGAATTGGGGACTTCAGTACTCCCTAACATGCTCCTCTGATTTTTTTCCCCCTTTCTGCAGGATCTATTGATCTTCTTTAAGAATGATTTCCCAGTGTCAACAGCTGTCCAAGTGAGGCAGTGGGAATATCGATGGGAGATCAAGTCCTTGATGTTCTTGTGGCAAGAACGGCCAGGGTGTTTGAAAGCTGTGGCCCAAGGCTTTTGCTTCTTCCCCACTAAGCACTCCCCACTTGTGAACTATGGGGGAGAGGGGTTTCTACACAGGTTCTCTGGGGAACCAGAAGTAGAGGCAGGCTGGAGCCCAGCTGGTAGCCTGGGTCCATTATCCCCAGCAAGCACAGCCAAGAGAAGGGAAACATGGGAGCTGTGATTCAAAGATCTATGGCTGTCAGGAGGCAGCTCCTGCTTGAATCTGCTTTCCAAGCAGTCAAGCCCTGGGTGAGACAGCAGGTGGGAGAGAAAAGTGCTTCCCTCTGCCTGCCCTTTATGGGCCTTGCTGGCCAAAAGAACCTGTCCTTCCAGTCCCAGAACCTTCTCCCAGAAGGGTCTCTTGCCCTGTTCATGCTGCTCTGAGTTTCTGCTGTTGACAGCTGGACTGGGTGGGCTGGATCATTTGGGCTGGGCCCTTCACCCTCCAGCTCGTCACTCCCTTAGACTAGCAGCTTTCCTGCCCCACCACCACCCCAATTTCCCCTGCACACAGAGTCGCCACCCTTCCCTAGACTGCACAGGCAAGGACCAACAGGCCAAAGTGAAGGACAAGCAGCCAGTCAGTCCCAAGGAGGTGGGAGGCTGCCTTCCACTGGCAGAAGTCCCGGCTCCAGCCCTGAATGCTCTGGGCCATATTCTCTCCAATATCTGAGAATTCCCACATTCCATACATAGCCAATTCTCTGGCTATGTAGTCAATTCGGCTGCCTGCTCTTGCTTCCAGGCGACATGCCCCCCATGGCAAAAAGGGCATTTGATGCCCAGCCCAGGAGGCCCCCGAATCAGCCAGGCATGGCAAAAAGTGGCTCAGCTCCCAGACCTGTGATGGCCTTGCCAGGGGTAAGCCAGAGCTTCCCGGTTGCCTGCAGCCCTCTTTGTCTCCTGAGCCTTCTTGCTCACCTTCTTCTAGAGCTTTCTACTTTTGGGAAAGCAAACAATCCCTCCACAACCCCTCTGTCCTGTTAGCTCCGAGGCTTTTTAGGGTTTTGGGGTTTGGACATGGAAATATCCACCCCCCAGAAGACCCGTTCCTATGTCCAGCCTCTACAACCCAGAGAAAAAGGAAGAGGCTGCACTTGCAAGATGTCTGGCCTCTCCTACAACTGAAGCCAAAATGGCCATGGAGCTGGTACCATGCCCAGGTGAGGAGAGGCCATTCCTGCAGCGGGTCTGCTGGGCCAACTGGAGCTGAACGCTGCCTCTGACGGCGCCGACCCCACAGCGCCCTGGATTGTCAGCCTGGGACCTTTTGGGCTGAGAAGAGGAGGAAACCACCACCTCCAAACCAAGTCAACTGAAGCCAACTTTGGGCTGTGGTGGCAGGCTGGGAATGCCATCATGAGGACATGGAATAGCGTATTTTTGAGGTATACATGGAAATAAATATTTTGGGCTTCTGGTTCTTTCTAGGTGAGCAATATTTTTTGTCTATGCCCTTTATTTAGAGGAGAGAAAACAGGTCTATGATTCCAAGCATCCTCTGGCTCCCTTCTGAAATGCCATCCCTCTTTCTCTTCCCTCGGCCAGCAATAAGAACACTGCAGCTCAGAGAAATAAATTACAGCAATAGAACAAGTTTCTTTTCTTTTTCAAACATAGTTTCTCTATCATTTACACAAAGTATACTGGCTGGATTTTAACGTGTGTCCTCTCCATTTCTGATCTGTTCCACGTAGAAGGCACGACTCCAACATACTGCTGTATGCACTGAATGTGGGTTTGAAAGCGGTGCAAGCCCCCTTGTTCCCCAGGTGGTCAATCGAAGAGCTGAGAGCCTTTGGAAATCATAATCACGGCTCTCTCCGCTAGTGGACATTAGGAAAGTTTCCCTTTGCTGCTGCTTTATATGATTTTGTGCTCTGGCACTTCCTCCAGGAGGTCCCTCAAGTCCAGGACCCAAGCCTTCAAAAGCTCTCCACGAAGCTGCCGGGGAAGAGGCCTGACCTGCCATTCCGCTGTAACGTCCCTTTGTACCAACCATCTTCCCTTTTCTTGTGGACAAACACAATGTCACCCTCCTTCAGTTCAATCTCAGCTTCACTTTGCGGGGGATACGGGACCACAACTCGGTATCTTCCAAGAAAGAAAAGAAAAAAGCTTTACTGCAGATCCATCTGCAAAGCAACATGATTTTGACTGATTGATTCTGTGCCATCAAGTTGGCATCAATGCTTAGCAGCCCCATAGACGGACCTACTCCAGCAAGACTGCCACTTTGTCATGGTCAGAAATTGACAGAAGAGCCAGTACACCATATCAGATTGTGTGTGTGTGCGCGCGCGCAAAACTTGCCATGCAGGCATAATGCAGCATATATAATTAATGCTCATTGTGTATGTGTATTTATTTAGTGAATTTATTTATTCCCTGATTTGAAATTAATTGGCAATCCCACCCCCACCCCACCCCACCCCACCCCACCAAATCTGGTTGTCGCCTCTCTTATATATGCATATACACATGTAATAAGGTTTGGCATGAGAAATGCTGTCTGGCTGGGAAAAAAATTCTTATCAAATTACTTATGGCAGATCTGCTCCTCTTACATTTAGGGTGCACTGCCAATTTCAGCCATTGTGTAAATAAATGTTTGCATTATTTTAAACATGCTGCTGAAGTGTTGACTAATTGCATTATTACATTACAGCAATTTTAGCTAAAACAATGCCAACAATCTTGCAACTCCATATGGATAAACAAAATGAGAGAAAGTTAGTCATAGTTCACTGGACCATATCATTTTGGCAAAAGGACGTGTAAACTCCTTTTCCCCAGAATTCTTCAGATTGATACGCATTGTACTGACACAACAATCTTGACACTGGCTCAGGTCCCCTAATGCTTTAAAAAAGAGATGGAAAATCAGACTTAACAAAATTTCCACTGAAGGACAGACTTATTTCCAATTAACAGATGGCAAAACTTTAAAGTGATACATATATATGCATATACACTTAGAGACACATGACATTTCTGTCTGTTAAAGTATTTGGCTACATTTGCTTTTGTGGGTTTTCTTTTCAAAATGTAGCACAAATAACTAGCCGTTAAGTCTCAGAATAACGCTCTGCTGATTCGCCAAACCAGGCTACTGCAGTGTCAGTCCCTAACAATACCAGGGGTATTTCTGTGGCAATTTCTAGTAGCTCTCACAACATTTTGCAGCGGGTTGTCTCAGTGCTATTGATATGATTACGCATGGCTTCAAGATGACAGGTGCCGCCTGAGCAATGATTGCGCAGTGTTGCCAGAGGCTTGCAAGCATGACATATAAGACTGTTATCTAAATTAGGCAACCACTGGTTTACTTGTTATCTTCCCTGATCTCACTGTACTGCTATCAACTCCCCCCACTCTTTCCAACCTCTTCCCACTGACCCATCCTGACCCACCTCTGCCCACTCCTCCCGTGACTTCCAATTGGCCCACTCAGGCCACATCTCAGTATTTTCCCACAAGCCTGCTCAAGCCCCCATCTTCCCAGCATCTTCTCACTAGGAAGATGGTCTTCTCAGCATCTTCTCAGAGGCCCATCCTGATCTTCCCAACATCCTCCTCTGTCCCCTCCCATTTTCCCAGTGGCCTGCCTCTTTCCAGCACCTTCCTTTTGGATTCTTCCTCACCCCTCACCTTCACAGTGTCTTCCACTAGTGATGACGATTTTCCCACAACCCCCCATTTTTAATTGTGTCTTACAACAATGGTAAAAATTGTATGTTTTATTCCCTGTAGTGCTGAATGAAACAAAATGAGATGTATGTTTAAAGAAGTAGCAACTGGTTCCCATGAACCAGACCAAACTGACTAGCTAACATTCCTGGTCACATATCCTTGCACCACTGTCGTGTTTTATCTCTGAATGGAGAGATGGCAGTTCAGGCCAGTGCTGATACAATCTAATGCTGCCTTGGACAGTCTGTGCTTCCACTAGCACTGATCCTTTCTTTGCCTTTCTCTCAACTCCTGTCATAGCAATATGTGGCATGCTGGGAAAGATGCCTGAAGGCAGGGCTGCTGGTATGCCAGCATTATATGTGGCAGGAGTTGGGAAGGTAACTGTGGCTTGTGGTCATGACAACTTTTGAGGGCTTCCACTGTAATTGCTTATATTTTTAACAAGCAACATGGGCAGAGCTTTGCTGCACCGTTGTGGCCACCACCTTGACTTATTTGACCAGACTCTGCAGACAACCCTGAATTGGCTAGAAAAGCCAGGTTTTTTTGAGCCCTAGACTTAAAAAAAAACCAGATATAATCTTGCTTGTAAGACCTTGATGTCTGAATAGATCTACATAGCCTGGATCAATTAGGGGTGGATTTTAACCAAGGCTGAGGAGGACTGGGACACAGAAAGGCTGGTCATCTGGAAGATCAAGCTATATTTGATTTATCAATGTATCAAATATAGATGACAATAAGCAAAGATACTGCAGCTTGAAAATTTCAAAAAGCGTAGCTGCTATTGTTATTTGTAATGAATGGTAGGACTAGATTTGGCACAAGGGTTTGCACAAATCTGGAAGATATGAGTCCAAGTCAGACTAGGATGTTCCAGGTCTTTTCTTTCTCAAGTGCTTAAATTTCAAGCATCCAATAGGACGAAAGTATTTTTTAAAAATTCTAATCCCAATGCAAGCTCTAGGAGTGACATTGAGAACCAAAGCTTCTTAGAGCCAAGATGTCAGTTTTGCCAACAATCAGCTGTTGACTAGCTCTAAAGCCAAGAAGTACAAGGCAAAAAAATCTATGAACTATGGGAAAGGTGGGGCAAAGGAACACCAGTTCTGACCTTAAGTGAGTGTAAAAGGGAACTCATTCTGTTTCTAGTGGCTTCATGCTAATATGCAATAAAGATTTCTATGTAGCCTTTCTGTACTGAGTGTCTGGGAAGTTTCAGCTGTGTTTAAGCTGGGGAGCCTGACCTAACGTAGTTGTTTAGTTTTATTCAATATTCAAGGAGGCAGGGACAAAATCAAAGGTGAAAACATGGTTCCCAACTTCTGCTGTGGGCCAATGGAGCTGGACAAGCCATCTTCCCTCACAGTAATTCTATCCCCACAGGTTCTCCTTTGTTTTGTTACATTTCCCTGCATGACCATTCACCAGGAATGTTTGGTCCAGAGAGGTTCACTTCTTGAGTTAAAACCAGATGGTGAAAAAGTGCTGGAAGAGATGTGTAATGAGATTAAGAGCAGCAGAAAGAGAAGGGTTCAACACTTTGCCTTTGTACCCTGTAACTCTTTCAGTTGAATCCCAATCTTTGTTTTATATCTGGATTGGGTGGACCTGTTTTTAAAGACAGAGGGAGGTAGTAATTTGGAGTCAGTTTGGGAATTAGATATTACTAGACAACCCTGTGAGCCACTGGGTCTTTGACAGAAAGGTAGGGCAGTCTGATGTGACCAAAATGAACATTAAATTTTAGGCTGACCATACTTTTTTTTTTTACCCCAATGCTGGACGGTCCTGTAATCATCTAAGAAGAGTATATATCATAAATAGAAAACTTGAATAATAAGTCAATATTTACTTACCCAAACAAATAAACAGAATGACCAAGGGCAGGCAAAAAACAGTGGAAGTGGGAGCGACTTCCGACTTCCTGCAAGCTTCCCCACTGACTTTGCTTGTGGGAAGCTGGCAGGAAAGTCATGACCATGTGACTGTGGGGATGCTGCAATAGCCATGACTTTGAGAATAAAAGTGATGTGAATATCATGGACATTTCAATTCCACAGGTGTAATGGGTCCCAGATTTTTTATGCATTCTTTAAGTTAGCTGATTTTAGGTACCTTGATTCAAAAATTGTTGCAGTATAATGCATCACTTGGGCTAATATGAAGGTACAAACACACAAACAGATAAACACAATGAGAGCTTTAGTAATACAGTGGTACCTCTAGTTACGAACTTAATCTGTTCCGTGACTCTGGTTGCAACTCGAGTTGGTCTCAAGTC